TGTCGGGGAAACGCTTGTGAGGAGGACTAGGAAGGAGCTACTGTTTTAGAAAAGACTAAGGAAATGACCCAGAGTGAAAACAATCCTGCCTCAGCCTCAACCCCAGCTCTGGGCCTGGCTGCCCAGTCCACTGTTCCTGTTAGGAGCTCTGCTGCTCCTGGTTTCAAAGGGCTGCTGGCTGCAGAGTCCCTCCAGTGTGCAAGTCCACGAGGGAAGGAGAGAGACAACCTGCAGTGCTGGGATGTCAGACAGCATATTCTAAAGACTGTCTAATGTGTGTGCATGTGTGTTTGTGTTTGAATGTTAGTTTGCGCACCAGATTTCATGTGCCCATGAGGTCCCGGTCCTCTGCAAGAGAGGACATGCTTTTAGCCACAGAGCCATTTCTATAGACTCTAAATAAATATTTTGCCTACCTGCTTACAGCCAACAACTGACCGGCCACAGCAACCTCAGTCCAAATGATAAGACCTCAGTTGCTGGTGGAAGATGCAGAATGGGGTGCTGTGTATAAAATGTTTCCTAAATTGCTTGAAGTCGGGCTGGAGATATAGCTCAGTGGGTAGAGTACTTTCCTAGAATGCAAGATACCCTGAGTTCGATCCTGGGCACCCATGTAAATCAAGTGTGGTGATGCCTGAGTTCAGGGTCATCCTTGGCTATAAAACTGATTTGAAATTAGACTAGGGTGGTGTGGAGTATTCTTTTAATTAGGCAAAGATGTGTTGCGCTTGTTTATGCAGTGGACTATTTAACTGTGTAAAGGTGTGTTACATTTGTTTATGCTGCATTTGTTTAATGATGTAAAGATGTGTTGTATTTGTTTCACCTTGCCTGCCTAAGGCACCTGAGTGATCTAATAAAAAACTGAACAGCCAATAGTTAGGCAGAAGTGGGATAGGTGGGGCTGGTGGGCAGAGACTAAGGGGAGGGGGTATCTAGCCTTGAGAGAAAGAAGGAGAGGAGACCAAGGGAGAAAGGGAGACACCAGAGGCCAGATGGACGCCAACTAGTGAGACGAACAGACAGGTTTTCTCTCTGTAGGACTACAGAGATAAAGGTAAAAAGCCCCCGAGGCAAAACATAGATAAAGAGAAACAGATTAAAATAAAAACTAAACTCAGGCCAAGCGTTCAAAACATAATAAGTCTCCTTATCATGATTTGGGAGCG